TCAATTGATCTTTTATGTCAGGCAAGTGAGAACATCTATATGGTGAGCTGGAACCTGCAGGAAAGGAAGGTGGGGGGAGTGAAAATTGGTGTCAGAGGGACCAATCCTTTCATGGCTCTGATCCAGTGGGACACCATCTGGCCCCCACACAGCAGAGAGGAGGGAAGCCTGGCCCCAATCCAGCCACATTGTGGAAGGGGGCTTGGGCCAGCCCCAACCTGGCTCTGTGGGTGGGGAGGGGAGGGTGCTGTGATCCACCTCTGCATGGGGAGGGGGTGTGGCTCAGCCCCACAGGAGGACGGGCATAGCCTGGCCCTGCAGGCAAGGATTGCAGGGGGTAGGGTGGGAGGCATGTCCCAGCCTCATGGAAGGAAGAGGTTATGTCTCAGTCCTGGGGGAGGTGAGGGTGCTACGCAGAGGGAAGGGAGCATGGTCCAACTGGGCGACTTGGAGGAAAGGGAGCATGGTCCAGCTCCATCTGGCCCCACAGCACTTGGGATTTTGACAGTGCAGAGGGATGGCACTACTGTCACTTCCTCCACCACCAATTTTCCTAACCCATGGGCTGGATTCCAAGGCTCCACAGGCTGCATTTGGCCTGTGGGCCAGAAGTTGAGCACCCCTGGTATAGACTGACATAACAATTATATCAGTTGATACCAGTACAAGCTATTACAATGTAACCATCACATCTGTAAGCTCCTTTTAAGAATACAAGTGTAACAAAATGATTGAATTATACTCTTTACCATATTTTCTTTCTTATGATCTGCATCAAAACCACCTGGGGAAAACTGGGGTGTACTTTTCTGTACAAGGAAAAGGGTTTCCTGTGGGTCTGGAAAGTTGGTGGGTGGATCGGGACTTGGAGAGAGCACAGAGCAATGGCAGCATTATCCGCTGCCGCTCTTGGAGCCATGGCAGTTAACACTGTCACCACTTACTGCTTCTTTCCCACCCACCAATCACCAAATTTACAGACCTATTGAGAGGTCCCACCTCCCCAACCAGTACTGGATTGGGCTGGCACATGCAGGGTCTGGCCAACCTTATATGAGGTCCATCCAATACAGTATGCCTGTTTTGAGCCATGTGCCAGATTGAACCCCACGTGCCAAGTCCAAGACTGCACACTGTCTTTGGGGTCCTGTGCTTGGTTGATCCCAATTTGTGGACCTGACATCAGTGTGGCTAGGTCAGGCCCTGCTGTGTGAATCTCATCCCCCAAGCCCTCAGGCCCTGTGTATGGTCCCTCAGCCCCAGAGCCCAGGCCTCAGGTACTTACCTATACTCTAAGGTAAGATCTTTTTTCTTTGTTAGGATGTTTTCATTAACTTGTATCCCAACTGGTGCACATAGGTGCAACAGTGGCATTGTAACAGCTAACACGCTCCCAAACAGTATCTTCCTTCCCTTTTTAAAGTGATTAAATGGTAGATTCAAAGCACAAGCTTTTGTTTTCTTGGTGATTTTGTTTTTTTTTTTCCATGTTGGTTTAGGGTCTAAAGAATATTTTGGTCCTTTTCTGTATATCTAGCATCTTGTGTTGGTATGTAGGAGTACATTTAATCTCTTGCTGTGGCAGGGGGGATTTAAGTGGTGGGGTGGGCCCCTTGTTCCTCTGCCACCTGCCTCCCCTCTTCCCTCTACTCCTTGCCCTCATTTGTGGCCCTGGCCCCAGCCCTGGCTCTGGTTCCCACACAGTCCCAGGGCCAGAGGTGCTGCTATTGCAGCCATTGCTGTCTGGCCAGGCAGGGGCTAGAGCCACCATGTCTGGGGTGGGAGGGGGCAGAGGCTTTGGAAGATTGGTGGGGGGCATGGCTGTGACTTTGACCTTGAACCCAGATCAGGGCTGGAACCTCAGCAGCCACCTGTTCCCTCACCTTGTACTCGAATCCAAGACAAAGGTGTTTTTTCCCCAGGTGGAATGGGGTAAAAAAATCCTTGTCTTGGATTTGAGTAAACATGGCACTTCAGCTTCCAGACCAAGGGTGAAAGTTTAGCCTGACTTGAAATATTTTGTCGTGTCCCTGTGCCAACATCTTTGTTAGTGAAAAGAAAGAAATGTGATTCTTTCCCTACTGTACTATTATAGACAATTCCTAACCTAACTGAGTTTCCAGTTTAGTTTAATGTTGACACTCGACAGATGGAAAAAATACTGACTGGAAGATGTGGAAAAGGATGCAAATAATGATACTTTTGGTACTCTTTCATCCCCACCCCCAGTGAATACATGTAATTGTTTTCCCCTTGTCAGGTGCTTTTCAACTGGTACTTTTTGGTAGGTGTAATGGCACATGTGAATTTTTGACCTTTTACATTTTATAACTGGACAGTGCACTTATAAATATTTTACTACTTGCATAGCTAGAAATTCAACTTGGTTAGGAAATAGTCATTTTAAACTAAACTTGCTGTTCTTATTCTTAGGTAGGGACCTACTCAAATCGCTATTTCACAGAAATTGGGCGATTTCTGCAAAATCCATGGGGTAAACAAAACAAAACAAAACAAAACAAAACAAAAACTTACTAAAAATAAAATGCTGGCTCCCCAGTGGGAGCCAGGAGTCCTCCCGGTGGTGCAGCCTGGCACAAAGCAGGCTGCCGGCACTCAGGTGAGCAGGCAAAGGTAGCCTCCATCAATCAGCAGCAAGTGATGGACATTCCTCAGCCAATCAGTGGTGAGGGACAAGGACATATGATGGACAGCCCTCTCCATCATTGGGGGGAGGCACACCAGGGGCCCTCAGATTGGCCACGGGGTGGCAGGGGTGAGCCAAGCACCATGATAAACCTGTGAAAATGACAGCTGGCCCCCACACAAGCTGCTTTGCCCCAGGCCGTGGGGGCTTGGCAGCGCAGGCTGTTTTGGGGGCTCGGTGAAACCAGAAGTGCCACAATGGGCACTTTCAGTTTCGCTTTTGCTGCATTGAGTGGCATGCTGGTTAATGGAGCATGCTGGTTTCTAAGGTGCCGGATAATGCAGCTTTTACTGTAACTTTTTTCAGTTTGTTTTGCGTTTATAACACAAACACAGCCACATGCCTTCTGAAGAAGGCAGTGACCACCTTATTCCCACACGTGTTGCCCCCTCTCCCATGGCTCCTGCCCACAGCCCTGCTCTCTGCACAGCCCATGCTACTGTCCTGGGCAGGTGGGGTGGGCCCTCATGTGGACAGTGGTGCCAAGCACATTTGGAGCCACAGAGCACGCTGCTGTCTCAGTGCTGGCAGGCCCTGCACAGCCAGTCTCCCACAGCTGCTTGGTTAAAAAGCCACTTCTGCAAAGGCGCCCGGTGTCTAGCAGAGCGCAGTGTCCCTCATATGGCTTTGTATCCTGCCTGTGTACAGCCCAATGTCTCTGCAGCAGCCCCGGCACTCAGGCCCTTGCTATGCATGCAGCATTGCTATGGCAGCAGCAGGAGCTAGTAATTGTCCCTTTGCTGTGTGTGGTGCCTGGTGACTGCTCCCCAGTGCCCTTTCCCCCTCCTGCTGCAGGACCTGTAGTCTGTCGCAGGCTTGGGCTGGCAGTGGGGCACAGGGACTGCACGACACTTATCAGGGTGTTCTGGGCACGCAGCTATAATTACTGGCTACAATGACCAAAAAAAGCCAATTAATGTTATTTCTCATTTTAGTGCTGATTTGATAGCCAACCAATATATCTGTGCACCCCTACTTGTACACTTTGGACTTATGGGTTGTTGCTGCAGCCTTCACTTAACCTTTGCTTATGCATGGTTAATAGAGCTGTTGCAGAAGCTCTTTAGGAGCACCCAGTGCAGCCAGTCTGCCTGTCCTGTACCTACCTGCCCTTGTTATCAGAGAGCCTGATCACAGCAGTCTTCTCTGTCATTATAGTAAGTTCCTTCTGGACATGCTTGTCATGGAATTGACCCATGGGCATTTGGAAAAGGCTGCCTCTTCCTCCAGTTTGCTCACTACTACAGTTTCTAATCTACACTTCCTTCTCCAGTTTTTCTTTCTCTCTTCCAAAGGGAAGACTGTCCACACTTTTTGAAAAATAAAGCTTAGGTTTAAAAAAAAAAAAGGATAAAAAGATAGGAAAACGTAATAAAGTCAGATATGCACCAGTCTGCAAGGATAGGAAGCTCTTATCAATCACTTCAGCTTCTGATCAGACTAATGTAGACTAGTCAGTCTGTGAAACTGACTTAATTTAAAATAGTTCAAGTTGTGACAACTCTGGGGTGTCTGGATGCTGCCAGAGATGCACCATGGGTTTGTATAAGTTTACTGGTCCCCCCCCACTCCACTGAAGGGTATGCCCAGGTTATTAATTTGCCTAGAAATCACAATTTACCACAGGCACTTAACAGAAAAAACCAAAGGGTTTACTACACAGAGAGAAAAAGTGATCAAATGATTTGATGACAGAATATGGTAAAACAAAACTGACAAAAATCCTCAAAAATCTTTACCCTACTTTTGGACTACCACCTAGCCCTCATCAAATGTCCAAGAAAATCCCCAGAAGTTTTCTCAAGTGTCTCTGCCTGTGGCTGTCTGACACAAATACATATTTTAAAAAACTCCTGTGGTTCTTAATAGGGAACCTTTGCAAAGTGGAAAAATCTAGGAATTGCTATGTTTCCAGGTTTGAAATGCCTGCTGTGGTGCAGGGCAGCTAGTGTTGGATCTAAAAAATCATCAGTAACCAGGAATCTGGATATCTGGGCAGCTGGATTATTTTATAGTTACACATTAGTTTTTGTTTCTTTTTTTTAAGGGTTTAATCCAAGCTGTAATCAAAATCATTATCAAAATAGTGACATCAGTTATTTTGATAGAGAGGAGTTGTAAGATCAAGTATTTTATGTACTTTTGACTTTTTCTATGGGATTTATTTTATTGGTGAAGATAAGGAGAAGTTTTCTAATATCACTTTTTACACATAGGCTTATAATTGCTAATAGACATGCATCATATGTTTGTCCTGCCATTATTTGATTTTATGCATATTATCTATTTTCAGGTTTTTAATGCAAAAACAGCAGAGCTCCTGAGCCACCATCAAGTAGAAATACAACAGAAATTCCCTAAAGAAGGGTATGATTCCATATACTTACACATTTATTTGCCTAGGTTTTAATGTGATGCATTTGTTTTTTACATGTTTTTGGTATTAATTGTTTCATGTGGTAGAGGATTTTTGGAACCATCAAAGAAAAATTTTGGAGCCATCAGGGATGTGCACCAAGGTTAAACTTCTGAGACTGTGTTTATGAAAGTTTGACCTGTTACTGTCACCCTCCAGTTTCATTTAAAGTAGCTAAAGTTAGCCATTCCCTTGATTTGTCCACATGCTTCAGCTTCATTCACTATTGCTAAATATACTGTACACAAGTCATTGAATGTAATCCTTGGATCATCTTTTTCCACTGTATTCTAGCAAGAAAATTATATATTTGTTTGCAGATGCATGTGTTGTGAAAATGGACTCCAACTTAACAAAACAGAAAGGGTTTTAACTTCAATCAGACATTTTCTACTTATACAGGATGTGCTTAGTCATTCTGCCATGAAAGGAAACAAGTTGACTGGAGATTAGCCAAGAGTTAATATTGTTTTGATTATTTCATTTGTGACTTTCTGTAATGTTCTCATAAAATATTTATATGTATTTCCATAAATGTAACGGCTGTCTTAAATTTTTGCCTATGCTTTGACTGCTGTCTAATATTTTTAAAGGTGGGTGGAGCAAGATGCAAGAGAAATCTTGCAGTCAGTCCATGAATGTGTGGAGAGAACATGTGAGAAACTGAAACAGCTGAACATAGATATTACCAACATAAAAGGTACTACTGAAGTTTTACATGTCTGCTTTTTGGGGATTGGAGGGTCATATAGGAATGCAGTTTGTTTAGTGGTTTTCAAACTATGTTTCGCAGGATCCCAGGGTTCTGTGAGAGGTCATTAAAGGTTTGCAAAGAGATTGGAGGTAATGGAGGAAGGGGCCAAGGGGCGACTTGTTGTCATCACCCCACCAGGTCACCTGGTTCTGCATCAGCCCACGTGGCCTGCAGACCTAGGGGTAGGAGTTCTGCAGCAGAAGTGATATAAAAGGGTTCTGCGATGAGGAAATTTGAAACTGTTGAGTTAGTATGTAGAAAAGTGGCAGGTTCAGGTCCCGGGTCACACTCCCAAAACAGTTCTGAATAACAGAAAAAAGAGAAGAGACTGTTGGTGCTTATTAGTAGGGTATTGTCTGGCAAAATATACAGACTAAATTTGTTCTCCTCAGGCATTGCACAAGATTAAGCAACTAATTGACAAAACTTGTTATTTCAAAATATAGTTCCTTTGTGTACCGCATGACAGTATGAAAGAATGAGATGTAGAATATTCAAAATCATAAACAAATGGAAGATATAAAAGTATACTTCTAGAATAGAAACTACTTATAGTGGAAGTTTTTCATTATCCATTCATTTACCTCTCCTCTAGCTCCAGAAAAAGAATATTTCTAAAAAAAGTTCACTTTTTTGTTTTTATCCATTAAGCCATTGGAGTCAGCAATCAGAGGGAGACAACTGTGGTTTGGGACAAGACAACTGGAGAACCTCTGTACAATGCTATTGGTAAATATTTTGGTGTCCAACTGTGTATAGCCTATTATAATCCATATTAGGGATGTAAACACCATTTAAAAATAGTTGTTTAACCTCCTGTAATTATATTAGTTAAACAGTTAACCAATAGCACAGCAGCTCCAGCACAGCTGCTGCTAGAGTCCACTCCCAGCTCCCTGGACCCTTTGACTCGGGGGATAGAGAGAGAAGGCAACCCCAGACAACACAGGCTAGATGAAGTTCTCTGCTGAAAGGGAGGAAACGCCTGTAAATGATTCCTTTGGCCACCACATGAATGAGCTCTGCAAGGAGGAGACACAGATAAGGGCAGCGAGGCCCAGAGCTGCCCTGCTGGAGCCCTCCTGCGTGGGGCTGCTGCACTCAGTTCACTCTGCCCTTCACAGCCAGGCCTAGGGGGGATATGGCCTCCTTGGCCCCCCAGCTCTGACCCCCGCAGGGATGCCAGGCTTTGCGGGCACTTAATCCCTGGCGGTGAAGTGCAGCCCCAGCCCGTTCCCCACTGTGCTCCCCAAGGCATGTGTGCAGCTGCTGCCTGCAGCAAACCAGGCCAGGGCTCCCAACCCTGGTACAGCTGCTTGCAGGCTTGTGGCTGCCTGCTGCAAGTAGCCTGGGCTCTGGGCAGGCCCCTGCCACCCACCACAGAGCCCAGGCTACTCACAGTAAGGTTTGCAGCCTCCCCACCAACTACTGCAAGCAGCCCGGGCTCCATTGCTGGCAGCAGGGGCCTTTCGAGAGCTGGGGCTGTCTGTGGCGTGCTGAGCAAGATGGCTCCATGTGCAATGCTCTGGTACATGTGCCAGGGGTTGCCATCCCCTGCTACAGAATATCCTTCAGCATTTGTGTGCATCTTCTAGAGATCTAAGTGACTTGTCTTACTTTTTCCCATTAATTGAAAGCTTTCAAAGAGCCTTCAGGAACTTGAATGAGACACTGCCTTTAGGGGTTTTTAAGCTTTTAGGCTTGGAGGTTTTCTTTCTTTTTAAAATAGCTTTCTGTGTGTTTAAGTTTTTAAGACTGTGACCTTTACAACTTCATTCTGTGTAAATCGGTAGCTCTGGGTGTGGATGCATCTACACTGTCAAGTTGACTAATTAGGTCCTCAGTAAAGCATCACCATCTACCCGTATGCACGTATTAGGATGCAGTAAATTTAGCTCCGTCATAAGATAGTAGTGTCAAGGACAGTACTGTCTTACAGCTGAGTCATGTCCTGCACTGAAACGCACAGGTAGATGGTGATAGGGACTGGCTGGGATGTGAGGGTGCTAAAGTGCAGGGGCTGCCTGTCACCTAGCCCTGCAGTTTAATACCCTTGTGCCCCAGCCAGTCCCAACACCACCACCCAGAGCCTGAAGTTTGACCCCTCCTGGGTCTGCTGCCAGCCCAGAGCTGCTCTGCCCCAGCTCAAAGTGCTGCTGTCCTTGGCACAGGGGTAGATGTTGTGCCTGGGAGCAGTTGACTCTGGCTGAAACAGCTCTTGAGTTTATTGCTGTGCATTAATTTCACGTACAGATACACCCTCTTTATTGCTGTCTGTTGCTGTAGTTCAGAGTATTCACAGCAGTAGTAAATAAATAAATCTTGTGTTTGTTTTTAAGCTTTCTAAATGAATGACATTTAGTCTTGTGGTAGTGTGAGTGTTGTAACTTCCTTGTTTATGTTTGAGGGTGAAAAAAAAGATTTTTCATAGTCTGTATAGAAACCTCTACCCAGTAAGTTGTTCTTCAAAATAGAATGCAAGCCTTCCACTTGTTTAGGTCTTTAAGTGATATAGAAACATGCTTATGATGAGTTCTTTTCTGTCAGCCTTTTTAAAGAAATAAACTTCTTGAATATTTTCAGTTTTGTGATCTTAAAAATTAAAATATTGTACCTGAAGTGACAGTGTGTTTGGGTACTTCAAAAAGAAAATGATTATCCTGGTACAAATGTTTTCTACTATTTCACTTGTAGTGTGGCTTGACCTGAGAACCCAGTCAACAGTTGAGAGGCTTCTTAACAGAATTCCTGGGAAAAATAAATCCTTTTTTAAGGTAAGGAGTATTTCCAGAGAATCTAATTAGTAGTGTGTTAAAGCAGTGGAGGCCAACCTTTTTGACAGGTGCACCACAAATAAGAGTCCTTCCGCACCTCCCTGTCAGCCTCCCACCAAAGTGCTGCTCCCAGTCAAAAGTATATGTGATAGTTTGTGCCCTGGGCTGCTGGAATGGAGACAGGGGAACTCCAGCTGTAAGGAGCAGAGGCAAGATGCTGCTGCAGGAGGGGGTGTCACTACCAAAAGTCAGATTAACCTTTACGTAGCCCTGCAACCACAGCAGTTTTATATAGCAAGTGAGGATTCAAAGTTCAGGATTCAGTGGCATCTTCCTTTACTGAATACCCAGGGCTTGCGCTGGTGCCCATACTACTTACAGCATGTACCAGAGGTTGGGTACTCCTGTCTTACGGTTTTCAAGTGTTTGATGGTGTATGTATGTTTATGACTTTGCATGTAGGGTTGGTGGTTGTAGCCATGTTGGTCTAAGGACATAGGTAGGCAAGATTCTTTGGATAGAAGTGATATCTTTTATTAGAGCAACTAAATAGTTGGAAACAAGTTATTTGCAGGCAATTGCCTGAAGAAGGGTGTTTGTGCCCAAAAGCTTGCCAGTAAACTTTTTTCAACTATTTAGTTGGTCTAATAAAAGATATCACAT